CAACACTGAAACGGTGTGAGTGAACACGGAAGTCATTGCGCTGTACCTACGTGTTGTTGAATATCGATCGATTTCTTTTTGAGAATTATTTTAGTATTTCAAAATCGCCAATTTATTTGAATTTAGGAGTCGACGCCGTCTTCTACCAGCTTTCACAGGCGTCCGTTTTTCTCAAAATGTCGTCGAAGTCACACGGATAGATTTGCCGAGTCATGGCCTTGGGTATGAGTCTGTGTCGATGTTGTTTTCGTCACATCGCGAGAGTAGATTGCATCGCAGCTCAAAGAAAGTGAGCATGAAACGAATTGGGACCCATCCCGCTCATCAACATTTACCGCACTTTCGACATGTCCTCTCTGACTCCATATCGATACGAGGAAGAACTCGTTTGTTGTAAACCAGACGCACGTGTACCGACGTGAGTGAGTTGTCATTTTTCATGCTTTCACGCGGATTATTTCTTCGGGTTCACAGTGAGTTTCCAGCTCTCGAGCAGGAATACGGTAATACTGGAAACTCCCCGGGCGATCGCCAGGATTGCTAATCTTTTTGAAATGGACTGTAGTCTCTACCACACTCGACATTGGTTGCGTTCTCAAACGCGAACCCGCCTCACTCCTGGGCCACCTCTCGTTCGCTTCCCGAGCAATTCCTGCCGCCCGTACATTCTCACGTCGCCTCTATGACCACGACAAGGCCACATCCGAGATTACATCTCATCGAATGCTGAGCTTCTCAGCCTCACCCGAGGACGCCCTGAGCTCCTGGCACCAGCCCCGGAACAAGATGGAAACCTCCAGGACCTTAGCTCCCACAGCTGTGGAGCAGTCTGACACCTTGGTCTAGCCAATCACTGAATAGTTCAAGGTCAGTAGCCCAACTTCCAAGTAGGACATTCACCTAGGATTCTGATATCTTTCTCTGTCGATCCTACTCCACAGTAATAGTCTGTCCTTATGCCTCTACAAGTAGTACAATGCTCTTGTACATCGCTGTCTAGACAGTCTTTACTCCTGATAATCATACACACGTCTCACTCTCGTAATACGTACTTACCATCTATATTGGTTGTCTCACCCGCTATCTCCTCTGTCCCAAGTGGGAATGTCGGCATGGGCACTCCTCCGTAATTGGCCTCCGGCGCACTACTATTAAACTGGCATGGGTCACAAACCGCTCCTGCTCGATGCAGGCCGACCCACTTGGTCATATACAGCTCCTGCCCTCGGTAGGCCGACCACATGATTCGTTAACGCGCACTCAATTGAGGCCAGCTACTCTACTCTACATTCCCATTACTCCAAACTCACTCTCTTCTCTCTTGGTGTGCCGCGTCTCGCACGCGCGCGTGTGTCTGCTCTATACTCTAGCATATGGAGTAGAATGCTAAATGTTCGATTAGAGAATGAGTTAACCAGTCACGTACCATTGCTCCGCTATTGGCTCTTTATAACGTGTAACATGACCCTGTTTACGTGTGTGCACAATCTTGCTCTCTCTACATACTGCTGTGTTTCATGGACATCACATGCTCGCACGCTCTGCAAATGCGCAGATTTCTCGTGCGCACAACAGAGCTTGCTGTGTTTTCCAGTTTCCTTGCTTGCATACAGCTTTCATATTCTGACCCACCCTAGCTCAACCCTCAATAGGACAGTATATGTATCGATTCCTGTGTAATGATTTCTATTTTAACGACAGATTGCTCCTCGTTAACTCGTTAGAGTTAGCACTTCGTTTTATATATATGGCTTTTACATTACTCCACATATTTTGAAACACACGGATGCGGGCACTGCTCCATAACTGGCCTATGGCGCACTACTATTTAACTCGCATGGGTCATAAACCACTCCTGCTCAAATCACGCCGACCCATTTGGTCATATACAGCTCCTGCCCTCGGTAGGCCGATCACACGATTCGTTAACGGAGTTATGATCACCCTGTCGGGATTTAAGAATGGGGTTATATATTTTTTTGGAATGGGTTTGCTCCCCCACTGGAGCTGGCGCTATTTTGCCGGCTTGACCTGACACTTGACTGACTCACGACTGCTATCCAGTGATATTAGCGATTTTAATAAGATAAGGGAAAGTCGAAGATTGAAGACAAGTATTGAAAAAAGGCTGAAAAAGAAGGAGCAATAACATTCGATGTGGCCTTCAGGATACTGGGAGGAAGACAATCCGGTTCTGGTGCTTTGCTGCTGTCGAGGGAGGCAAGCCTTGCCCTGAGGTCTGTTACAGTGACGTGCTTAAACATACCAAATCCAGATTGAGGCACCGGTCTATCTGGGATGTCGTACCTGAGGTTGGAATCAGTCACTATCTTGTGGAAGAAGGTGTTCGACTCGTCAGCTGCAACCGCAGGTGGGGCGAGGGAATGACATCGATTAGTGATGTGGTTGATGGTGGACCACAACAGCTTTGGGCTCTGCTTATATTTTGGGCACACATTCTGGAAACGGGAATTTCTAAGTTGACGGTAGATAATTATTGTTGCACCGAGTTCTCAGAGAGGTAGAACATCGCTGTAATGTAGTGTCAGTGCAGCCACTTGCGCGATATCGATGAAAAGCTGATTTCCTCTGGCGGATGAGTGCCAAGAGCTCTGGGGTCAGGAACGGACAGTTCTTCTTGCCCGGTCTTGTAGGTTGTTTGTACGGCGTGACCATATCTAGAACGGTGTTGAATTTCCCCAACCATTCATCAAGCATTAGATCGACAATGGCAGACGAGAACGAAGACAAGTTTGCATGCTCAAGCAGACCTATCGATTCTGGGAAGTTGATGTTCCTATGGTCGCGGTCTTTAAGGTAGCATCGTAAGCAGGTAGTTGTATATTAGTCTTTACGTCCAAAGCTGCATAAACCAGATCATGATCGGAGAACTCCCAGGGAGACACTACTTCGTCTCTGACTGCAGCCAAATTTGTGAGGATATAGTCAATTGACGAAGCAGATGAGGGGTGGTCCGTGTCGCAAAAAACTGTTTGGAGGTTAAGGGGAAGAGGTAGCGATGTGTTTAAGCTTTGATACACCGGCCTATTGGAAAATTGGAATTACATTGGAATCAATGTTCAGGTCGCCTAGCAAGATAATATCTTAGCCCTGGATGTGGTGGACAAGCTCCTGCACAGAGCTCCACAATTGAGCATCAGCTGAAGGAGGACAATGCAAACAACCAAGAAGAAATACTCTCCCAGTCAACTTTTCTGTAGAACGCAGCCAAATCATCTCCCCTCCATGGACAAGTACACTCGCTTTGCAGATATTTGTTACGGTGTAGGAGAAATATCTTCATTTTTCCTCTTTGATGATGATAGCACATCAATACACATTGTGGTCAAATGTGAGGGCTTTTGTGCTAGTTTCAACAGCAGCTCAATGATCTGCTCTGTGGGCTTGGAGATAAATTTGTTATCGCATGTTTGCTGCGGGCCTTATGGCATCTTATTACCCCTCGAGGTTATCCTTCTGGCCTACGGCCCTCAGGCTAACCTCTCGGGGCAATATTATGTCATAAGGCCCTCCCAGAAATGACATCCCTTTCGATTTAGAAGTGTGAGTTATTTCGAGTTATTAGAGAGGTTAAGTTAAACGTTTTTTTAACTTTTTTCAAAGCGCGTTGAAAATTTCATGTTGTATGTAAATTTTAGAGGTTAAGTTACACGTGTGACATGACGTGAAATATTGCCGTGGCAAGATTCGGGTTTTGTTTGAACAGCAGAATTTCTCAGCACAATTTTTAATATCAAATCTTCCAACAATCTCGATAAAACTACGGATACTTACACAAATCCGATTGGGATGACCAAACGAAACTTCCAAAAACCCACGTCACGAAACTACGTGCGGTATAGTCAACTCACAATCAACTTTCAAACAGGTAACAAAATTGAAGATGACTTGAATTTTTGACGTAAAACTTCACGGACATAAGAATTTTACATGAAACTTAACCTCTCTATTGAAGTTTGAAAAAAGCGCCACATTTCGCTTGCCTGAGGTAGTAGTCACATGAGAACGGCATGACAAAATCCATTCAGCTTGTTCTTCTGGTGTCGTGGTACGTATGCGTTCACTTTTTTTCTATCGATAGTAGCAGGCAGGTATAGTGGGATGGTCTAACACCATGATTGAGAAAGAAAAGGTACCAGGGCAAGTCCTGCTTGGAAGTGGAATGATTTTTTCCAGCCGTGCTGCGACCCCAAAGGAACCCATTTAGCGCTACTGGGCCTTGCCTATGGTACTCTGCATATAAATGCTAAAAACAGGGCAAATAGCCAGTTCTAAAACTCCAGGGTTCTGGCAACTGGGGTCCTCAAATATTTTGGAAATGATTGCCAAGACTATCAACCAAAGGGTGACAGAATCGATACAGTCTCCAAAAAGAATAGCGCATCACGATAGGGGACGCAAGTTTGCTCAAATTGCGTGAAATACGCCAAATGCGTAAAATTGCAGCCGAAAGATCGCTGAAAAAAGAAGAAAAAAAGGACGCATAGTGTTTCCAAGCGGGATTCATACCAACGACCTATCGTACAAGAGGCAGGATCATGATCCAACTGACTAACATTGCTTTTACACACCAGACAGTGCCAGAAATCACTATACATGTATATCCCATGACGTCTATAGACGTCATCAGCGCATGGGGAGCATTTTCAATGACGTCTGTAGACGTCATCCGCGTTCAATGGGTTAAATTAATTGGGAACTCGTGGCCTGGCACGAGGGAAACATAAAGGCAGTTAATGGGATTTCAGTCTTTGACCACTTTGTGGCAGGTCTTATCTACTCACCTCCCACTGCTTAGGAGCTGAATCTGCGCCTTGTTTCTAGAGGGTGGCCGCGTTCTTACTAGGAATGCGGAAAACTCGGCAGAACCGTGACTTTTTTATGTTTCATGTATCCTTGCTGCCCTTTTTTTTAGGAGGATCTTATGATCACTTATGACCTTTCGAAGAAATTCCTTCCCTCTGTTTGCTTGTCTACAGGGCCGGACTGCAATTCATGCTGCCACTCTTCAGAAACACTTGGAGTGTCTGAAGTTGTTGTGTGCTGCTAATTTGAATCTTAATAGCCACGATACTGTAAGTAGGTAGTAGTTTCAGTGAACTGCTCCTTATCTTTAAAGGATGTGCTTAGTTTAGAGAGAATAGAGAAAGGACCAAGGAACTACAAGTCACGCTATAATGCCCACTTACACCACCAGCTACTAAACAATCACCTCATGCGATAACATTGCATGACACTGACCGATTTTAGAGGAGACGGTTCGATACCGGAATGGTTCGAAAGCCAAATTTGTAAGGATTCAAACCGATCATCAGCATGGATAGTTCACTCGAAATATGTTTGTGGAAGGAAACTGGCATGTTAAAGTTTGCTCTGAGGCCAGAGTCAATCGAACTGAGCCACTCCTTTGCATTGGCCCATTGCCTCCAAGTTGCCCAATTTTTCGCTTCAAATCAGAGGTGGCTCCAAACCGGAAAGGTTTTAGAGTGCACGTCAAATTCACTCTGAGTTCTGAAATTAGGTAATTGCTATCGCTTCTCGACGGCTAGTACAGAGTAACAATAAGCCTTGTGTGTTCTTCCATAAGTTTTCATTGGTATAAGGTGCTTTATTGGAGAGAGGCGATCCACTGTTTACCTGCGACAAGAAGTTGATTTTTCGAAAGACGTAAAACTTAAAAGGTGGCAGCCTGGTCGTAAAATCCCTGAAAAATCGAATTTGTTAATTCATATCGAGTGCTACATCAGTTGAAAGAGCATTAACAGTTGCAAAATCTCTGAAAATTGTGTCTCGATCCGACCAGCCGTTCAAGAGTTATGGCCGAAAATGTGCCCTTGCAAGGAAAGATTTTTTTGTTGCATGCTGTCATTTGTTAGCAGCACTGTATTTGAATGTGAGCAGACCGTGCGCAACTTGTCGTATCATGGAAACACGCGAAAGTGTGCAGAATTTTGCTCCAAGTCCAAAAAGTCCAAAAAATCACGTCAAAAACTACGTATTGGGCTGCAGGACTTTTGCCAGCACCCTCGTGACGTTGCAGATATGTGGCTTGATTACTGTAGTTGACATTGATTTATTGACTTTGGCAAGTTTGAGTCGTGTCAAGAAATCAAGTAGGATTCAGTACTAGGCAGTAGTGGAACGTGAGTGGTAGTCTTTGCCGATTTTGGAGGGTATCCTGGAATCGGTTTGAAGCGCTGTGGAAATGGCTTGCTGTGGAGGTCCAAGCACCGGATGTTGTATCAAAGGTACGACCTCGTAGCACGCCCTGAACCTAAAAAAATTCAAAAATTGACTTGGGTCTGTGGGAGTCTGTGACAGAACGCCCACTCGTTCCGTTGTGACAGATTCCAGGGCCACGTTGAAGGGCCCTATCCCACCACCCACGGCTGCTTCTGGGCGTTTTTTAGGTTTGGATCCTGCGCACGGACAGAATTGGCTAGAAAATGTGAAAAATTTGTAAATGTATTTGTTTGGCTCCTGGGTGGCTCGCCAACCGTGGCACTATGCCGGAATTTTGAGTTTTTCCGGCCTGTAAAGCCTGTCAGTGAGGCGCAAGAACTTTTAAATCATGTCCAGAGGGCCAGCATAGTGGCAGGAGTGTGTGGTGCAAGTTTCACTCAAATCCATTGAGAGACACCAAATTTACGGTCAATTGAATGCCATATGAAATTTAGGACCAGGCTGCTACCTTAAGAGAGCATGTCTGAGAATACCAAAGTATGTGTGCAAGTGGATCTCTCCGATTTCGCTCAAAATTTGCAGGTAGGTTCCCTTTGGGGTGTGGATCGATTGGGCAAAGCCCTTGAAAAAGTTTCTGAAGGGAACCTTGAAATTTGCATACCCCTCAAAAATGGCCGAAATATCACATTATTTATGGGTCTAGAAACGAGTCACGACACAGCGTATACGAACAAGCTATGAACAAAACTCCATCAAGCCAACATTGCCTCACCTTAGAAGAGTTCGTGGAGCAGTACCGCTTAGCCACGCCAGCATCCCAGAAGACGAGGTCCATCACCCCCTGACGCCACAAATGATCGTCTTGAAAATAGCCAATTTACAAGCGCTGGCAAAACAGCCAGCTACGTCCTCAATTGGCCAGAACTATACACCGGCAGATAGTAGAACACCTCTTCTAGCGCTGAGGACATGTCCCCCATCTTCCTTTTGGGGTTTTCTTGAAATAAACTTTTTTGAATTTTTCCACTCGACCATGCTGAAATACGGCCAAAGTCATACCTGCGCAGGAAAGCTCGCCCCTCCGCGACGTCTCCTCAGCAATTTCTACTCCAACACTACTCCCAAGGCCGCAGAACAAAGTGTAGTGTTGACTCTGACAAGGAAAAGCAGCGGTGATCACTTGTCACTCCAAACGACAAGCTTCTCCTTGCGCCACCAATAATTTTTGTGCGACTGTTGATGCAAAAGTGATTGAAGGCCTGAGCGCAGTTTTTGAATTTTATTGCAAGATGCAGTGTGAAATCACGTGCCTTGTGACGCAAAAATGCCAAGTCGCGTGGCCCACGGCTCACGAAATTTCAGAGTGACCTTTGTCAAGTGCGCTTGTTACTCGCCTTGAACGCCCGTGGCTGTGGCGTTGGTCTGGAAGTGATCACACTTGTGTTGTTACTGCGCTCAAGAACACGCTGACCGTGCTGTACGCCTACGAACCGGGACTTTCCCTAGGCCCTGACCATGTAGGTCGAAGACCAGGGAAATGATGATGAAATCACATTCTTTATGACGTAAGAAATCTCTCATGCAGTTCACGCGACAAGTGCGTGCAGCCAGTGCTGCTCGCGTGCCAGTCAACACAAAGGGACCGATCTAGCCGCTTTTGTCGAGCATCGACATGAAAACTAGGGACTTTTACTTTTGGACTATGTTCGGGATTGCAGGAGGTAAGTGTGAAAGACGAATAATTGTCCATGCTGTAGACCTACGGGGTATATTTCAACGGCTTGCTGCCATTGCAACACTCCTAGGACAGTTTGTGGGGGTTCTCAGCAGATCAAGCAGGAAATGCAGCCCATCTCACCTCTGCCATCATGGTCTGTTCCGAGTAGCGTTCCAGACACGTTCGCGATCGATGGCTGCGTATCTGCAAGATGCACGGTGAGATCGCGTGCTCTGTGACGTAGGATGACGCTTCCTGCATCACGATATCGTGATGCAGGAAGCGTCATCCTACGTCACAGAGCACGCGATCTCACCGTGCATCTTGCAATAAAATTCAAAAACTGCGCTCAGGCGCTAGGCCTTCAGTCACTTTTGCATCAACAGTCGCACAAAAAATTATTGGTGGCGCAAGGAGAAGCTTGTCGTTTGGAGTGACAAGTGATCACCGCTGCTTTTCCTTGTCAGAGTCAACACTACACTTTGTTCTGCGGCCTTGGGAGTAGTGTTGGAGTAGAAATTGCTGAGGAGACGTCACGGAGGGGCGAGCTTTCCTGCGCAGGTATGACTTTGGCCGTATTTCAGCATGGTCGAGTGGAAAAATTCAAAAAAGTTTATTTCAAGAAAACCCCAAAAGGAAGATGGGGGACATGTCCTCAGCGCTAGAAGAGGTGTTCTACTATCTGCCGGTGTATAGTTCTGGCCAATTGAGGACGTAGCTGGCTGTTTTGCCAGCGCTTGTAAATTGGCTATTTTCAAGACGATCATTTGTGGCGTCAGGGGGTGATGGACCTCGTCTTCTGGGATGCTGGCGTGGCTAAGCGGTACTGCTCCAGGAACTCTTCTAAGGTGAGGCAATGTTGGCTTGATGGAGTTTTGTTCATAGCTTGTTCGTATACGCTGTGTCGTGACTCGTTTCTAGACCCATAAATAATGTGATATTTCGGCCATTTTTGAGGGGTATGCAAATTTCAAGGTTCCCTTCAGAAACTTTTTCAAGGGCTTTGCCCAATCGATCCACACCCCAAAGGGAACCTACCTGCAAATTTTGAGCGAAATCGGAGAGATCCACTTGCACACATACTTTGGTATTCTCAGACATGCTCTCTTAAGTCGCAGTGAGAAGCAACACGTCAAAAACTCGCCTGCTTGGTATGGCGTTTTGGTCATCGCAGAGCCATTAAATTTTGGCTCGGAATAAAACACATGGTAGTCTCACTGTGACATATGTTTTCTAATTAACCCTTTGAGGACCGAGGACGAGTTAACTCGTCCAAAAAAATTACGCTGTATTCCCCAGGACGAGTATACTCGTCCTACAGGGCATACATTTGTACAGTGCACATACACCAGTGGTCAAATTATCGTAACTCTAGTGGCCTTTGTCCGATCATCGCAAATGATAGCTCGTTGGAAAGATGAGAAAATAATCTTTCCAGTGATATGTCGTTTGATATAGCGCGGTGTGGATTCATGGAGCGTCGAAGAGCGAAACACAAACACGCTTGAACTTTTTGACAAATAATCGCGTGCGCAGTGATCTGCATCTATCAGTACCTCTCAAACGGCAACTTCCCGTATGACTCATCGTTGCACGGCGCATGCGAAGTAGAGCCCAAATGATTCGCTTGACCTTCATGAATCTGGAGAACTTTGAATCGTTGTTCTGCGCTGAGTAAAACTTCAAAACCGAAGAAATTTGTCGAGGTGGGCAAAGTATCTCACTCAGGCGCAATGGGACGGCCCTCAAATGGCATGAAGGCGATTCTGTTGCTCCTGCTGGACATCTAGTTGAAGGATTTGGAGAGAGGAGATCTGTAGCTTGCTGATGAGACCAAGATGAAGAAATTCTGCCACTGGTGAGTGACAATATAAAATCTTGCAGCTGCATACTCTGGGTGAGGCACGCGTCAGCGTGTGCCTAAGCGGGATTACGTGGAATCAGTAGTGGTCCTGAAAGGGTTAAAATACCAAGAGGGAAAGTGAATATTGAGTCCGTTCCGGTTTGCAACCTATTTCCTATTTGAAACCGTCCCCTCTACTGACGTTCTACAACTTACTGGCTATAACCTCTAGCACATCTTGGATGCGCACTCCGACAGTATTCCAACTTGGAAGGTTCAGTTAGTTTTAGAACCAGTTAGTTGTAGAACGTCGGTACCGTCGGTTAGTGTCG